GTATTTTTACAGTCTTTATTTTACAGTTAAAATAAATGTTTATCAAATAAAGTGTGATGTTACAACTAATAGTGGATCCCTTTAAAGTAGTTAAATATAATGAGTCTGAGTCACTCTGAAAAAACTCTTTATAAATAAGACAATGCTCTGCAGTCATAAATGTTTTCAGTAAACCGAACTTGATCCCTGGTTTGTTGTTTTTTTAAGAGTCTAAAATTGTTTTTTATTGACCTCAGAAATGCCTCAGCACTTTGACAAAACCTACTTTCTAAGCATTCGGTCACATCTTGTGACGTTAGCAGACTTAGTAGATAGAATTCACTTTACTGAAMTGAAGACAGTGGAGGAATTCATGAATAAATGCATATAAAATATAATACAGCTCAAAAGAATCTCAAACATTATAATTCAAACCCTGCTTTTTATATTCATATCAAAACTGAGGACCGTTCTGCGAGTTCACATGAGAAGATATTTTCCAGCCGTTACATCAAAAGATGCTTAAGAAGCTTTTATGTAATGGTTAAAAAAACACACACGATGGTCTTGATTTGTTGCCAATAGAAGAAAAATAGAAGCTTTAAAAGGAGAAAAAAGGGAAAGTGTGATTTCCGATGACGAGTTCATGAAAACTGCTTAGTCTTGACTAAATGACGGGGGGGATAAACTGAGTTAATTATCTGTTTAACAGGGGGTCTCTGTTTGTATCAGAGGACTGCAAACAATCAATAATCAGGACCGCTCCATGCAGCAAACTGTTCGATTTTCATGATTCCAACATCACCGCGATGAAGTAACCTGATTAATTAGCCATCGAATTCCTGTCTTCTCGTTTTGGATATTCCGTTTCCAGTTTTACTGCTGCAGCTGATGATTGTTCCAGAGGGCATAGGATTCTATCCGCGCTGCCCACCCACTGCCACCAACGCTGTAAGCTCGTTGAGGGACTCCTTTTCACCCGCGAGTAGTTTTTGCAAACCGCGTGGAAGAGAAACCCCACAGAAAACGACGTCCACGTGACAAATGACTTGTGTAGAATAACTCCACTTCYACGCAGCGAGAACGCTCTGTGATGTTCCTCGGCTGGCCCTCTCAGAGTAATCACACAAAAGGAAATGTGTTTGGAGTTTTGGATGTAATGCACACGGTCGGGGTAAGTCATTTAAAAAAGAAAAAAACGCTGGAAGTAAACGAGCACGCTTTGTTTAGATATCCTTGGACGCGGCATTTGGTTTGCATCATACGTTTCACTTTTATACGTGGYTTTTGCTCACTACGCCAACATCTATATCCTGCGTTTGACAGGGAACAGTACACAGATGTGTTGCTGCGTAAACATTCCCGCCATCCTCACAGTACTTGTTTTGACCCAAACAGACAGTAACCTCCATCTGAGGGGAACATCTGCCCACCACGGTGATCTGAATCCAACCTAAAAGCTGCATATCAAAAATAAGGAGGTTTACTGCAGGACAAAAAAAAATCAAGTGTGTGCAGATATTTGGATGTTGGCTAGTGAAATGACAGCAGAGGATTCTGGCAGTCGGTGGAAGAGTAGAAACTAACAAGCTGCTGATGCTAGCAAGGTTTGAGCAGGAACAAATTCAGCAGAGTGGGGGGAAAAAAACCCACAGCCGGCTCAGAAACAGACAGACTTTGCGTTATCTTTTTCCATGTAGGTCAATTTGAGCTTCTGACAGCCTGGGATTGCAACACCGTGGCAGAATGACAGGAATGCTGCATTATTGCAGGCAGCACGGGCTCCTGCTCCACATTATTAACCAGCAGGAAAACCGGTCCATATTCTGGGCGTTAATGGGAGTTGAAAGGGGAAATGCTTTAATCGAGGGGAGAAGTTCTAGGAAAGTTCCTCTCAGCTGGAGTGGGTTTTCTGCACCTCGCGGCTGTTCCTCAACTCCGAACGCCGAGCCGCAGCGCTCGTTTTCTCAAAAAACGGTCCCACAGCGAGCTGTCACTCACAATCAATGTGCCCTAAAAACCCTGTTAGGGAAAAAAAAATAAGAAAAAGATGCTGCTGGCCCAGCTGCAGCTACTTTCCAGTCTATTTCTGTGCCCATCCAACCCAGTGGCTACTGGAAAGAGGACATTAACAACAACTTCCATGTGACTGCTCTGTGCAGATTGAAATAATTGCTTTTTTTTTTCTCTGAAAATCTGAAGAAAGCTTTCACTGAGGCCATCTAGACACGAGTTCTTCGGTTTTAAGCTGGTTAAATTTCAGGTTTTTATAACAGAAAAAAAAAACTGCTGAAAATGTCAAAAGCAGATCTCAGGATGAGTCTTATTAACAAGAAATAGCAGCATATAAGAATTATTTTGACATTATAAAATTTGATGCCCTTTTCGTCACTATTTTTCTGACTTTTATGCTAAAAAACTTAAACATAAAACATGAGAGACTATTTTGAATTAGCTATTGTTGATCTGAAGAAATTACTTTTCTTTACATGATTAAAAACAGCATTTATTCTATAATTCTTTATTTGTTCTGATTTTAAAYATTTAATTTGAGAAAACACTATAACAGTAGGTGCTTTTGTTTTAGCAAGAGATTCATCATAGTTACTGATTGTTAATAAATGAAATATATAGGTTGTTTTCTCTTTCAAGAGCTCATTCCAGCTTCCTAAAATTAATGTTTTTCTTTCTTTTCCTTTTTTTTAAGAAATCGGAAGAGCTCGTGCCTACGGGCAGCTCTTTCTTTATTTGTAATATTAAACGTAAAAATCCTCCGCAGACTAATCCATAATAAAAACAGACATTATTCACCGCCCTGGGCTCTACGTTTCTGCAGCCGCACAGTGTTTTGTTTCGGCAAACACAATAAAAGGAAAGGCCCCGCTCAGTTGTGACCCCAGATGTTGTTGTGTGTTTGATTCAAATATCCTCCGTCCCTGCAGCTGAACGCCTTCTGCTCACCAAGATCCTCCCATATGTCCTCTTCCCTTCACTTCYTCCTAGCACGCAGTGCCGTGCGAGTTTATTTTGGCGATTCACTCCAGTGTGAAATATGCACACATTCTCTTAATGCTACATTTGCAAAAGCGTTTACATTTTTACTGTGTCAACAGTCGCGGGAATTATCGTGTTGAATCATCTGTCTCTGCCACAAACAGATGGGTCCCGCGCACTGATTGTGCTTTAAATGTCTTCTTTCTTTTTGCCTGTTGTTTATAAAATAATAAGTAAAACGGAGGAGAAACTGACTCAGGAAGCTCATCTCTTAAAAGTACATTGCTGCTCAGCAGCCCCACCCCACCCCACCCCTCCCCATCATGTCACCACGCTCATTAGAAATGTGTTGACTCACTGCCACGCACGCTCATCGCTCCCCTCATCTTTTCTCTCCGTCCACCTCTCCCCGACATCCCTGTCTTTCTTCTCTGTCACTCCATCATCATCATCATCATCATCATCTCGCTCCCCCTCCCCAGCCTCTCCCTCCTTCTGGTGGGTTGGCAGTTCTGAGGTACTTGCTGTCTGCATAGCTAAGGGAAATGTCAGCAGCGCGCACAGAGAGAGGGAAAAAAATGGGTCAGAACATTAGGCCGCTCCGTGCACATGCTCAGTGGTTGGCACGGTGTGGGGT